CCCCCCCCCCCTTCAAAAAATTTATTCTGCACATGCCCTTTGAACGGTCTCTGCACGGGCCTGCATGACATATTTTATTCCTTCACGTACCGCTAGAAGGAAGCCTGTGTACACTAGTGGTACCACAGTTTGAGAACCACTGGCCTAGTTCAATTATTTGTTGCATTGTATTGCCAGGGATGTATAGTAACGAAGTAGAACTACTACTACTGCACTTAAGTACTAAAAGGCAGTATCTGTACTCTGCTGGAGTATTGTTTTTTCTCCTACTTTCACTTTTACTTCAGTGCATATTTTCGATGAGTTTAATACTTTTACTCCAATGGATTTTTTATGTGCTGCATCGTTACTCGTTCCTAAGGGTATCAAAATTATCGATATCGGTTCAGCAATAGATCATAACTGGTTATTACTGTCATGATTACCAGTAATCGCTAACCACCAGAGGTCGCTGGAAAACATTTACACTCCTTGAACTACATATCTGCCATGCTATGGACTACAACACCCAGTCAGGCCACACACACACACAACCGGTTCAAGATCCAGACTGATTAAACTCTCACAGCTGAAGCCACTCACACAGTGATTATTTGGACTATTTAAACCCCTCTGTTCCACACACATGTGGCTGAGTATTGTTAAGCTGTTGCTGTCCTTACGTAAGCGTTTTTCCTTGTTTCCTGTTGCCTGTGTTTTTGACTTTTGGACTGAATATCGTGTTTTGACCCTTTTCTGCCTGCCCTGAACCTTTTGCCTGTTTTATTGGATTTGCTTCTGGATTGCCTACTACACTGTTTATACTGGTATTTGACCCTTGCCTGATTGACCATTCTTATAATAAAGCTGCATTTGGAAATACCCCGGTTTGCACAGCATCCCTTTCACAACAATTACGTACTGATGTCATTTATCTCCTATGCGTGATGTCGCAGTAGAATACTATGGAGGGCGAGTAAATAACGCTCTTACAACAATGAAGGGGGCACAGCACATGAGCCGCTATTTCACTACTACAGAGAAATGCTGTAAAACTACTGTACATCTCCCTTTGGACATGTGACCCGCTGGCCTGTTTGTGAGGTAACTTCTCCTCTCCTCTTGGCTGTTAAAGTGATACTTGTGGATCCAGACATGAGCGTGCCTGAGGTGCAAGTTTTCTCCACTGTGTTTATTATGGATAATCTGTGATAACCGCGTATTATGTGCATACAGAGTGTAACCGCGGCTGTTCTCCCCGCCATCGGTGAACAGCGCTTTCATTTCTAAAGCCGATCGCAGCCCTTTCTGTTGAGCAGATGAATACAATAACCAATCATAGGGATGTAGGACCTCGCCTGTCAGCACTTAAAAAGCAAGCAGGATCATATTTACATGAGTTTATTTGCTGTAAATGCTCATGCTGTCTTCTGTGCATGTGTTGGAGTTTTGTTTGATACATTCAAGAAGAGTGTTTTCTTTGAGCAGGTCAAATTAAGGGTACAGTTCATGTGTCTTAGTGCTGTATTTAAGAACAAAATAGTTTTATAAATAATATATCAATATATTTATAGATTTTAATAAAATAAAATTCTTGTGTTGTAAAGAAAAATTCTAATTATGTATGGAAAGCATCGTCGATGCATCATGATATCAAATTGAACCGAATTGATGGCAAGATAATCATAACCGAACCAAACCGTGAGACCAGTGTAGATCCACACCCCTACTCGTTACAATTACAGACCTCTTTCTTGGCTGCTGCATGGAGGCGCCATAGTGACCAGCGTCTTCCGGTAGAATGTTTAGAACTTCCATTTACAGCGTTTACAACCGGTAATTTGCCATCCAAAAATGGGTCAATAGCATTTTGAGAGGATTACGGAGTGTTTTTGTGACCCACAACTCTGAAAGGTGTGTGTTAAAGCTGTTATAATCTGTCAGATCTGTGGTTCAAGCTTGAGAGAAAAACAGTATCGTAAGCCATGTTTCTTTTTGCTCTGCTTAATCACGTGCCCCCAAAAAACGATATTTAAAATAAACAAAACAATTTGATGTCTTTTGACTGCTTTCTTTAATAACTACATCACACAATACCTGTACTTTTACTTCAGTACTTGAGTAGTAAATTTTGAAATTAACTACTTGCAATACTTAAGTACAAAAATGTTTAATACTTCAGTACTTCCACTTAAGTATGGTGTTTAAAGAGCACTTCAACTTCTACTCATGTCCTTTTTTGATAGAGCACTTGTACTTTTGCTTAAGTCTGGGTCTCTAGTACTTTATACATCTCTGCATATCGCTTTCTCACTACAAATTCATCAGCTACAGAGTTCGTTTCAATCGAGCTGAGACCACCTCATTCAGGCGATCTCAGGCCGGTTGATTTGGCATGGATACAAGGACGATTGCAGTATTCACATATGCACATATGACTGTGCTAACTGGGCAAACGAGACAGGTTCCGAAACAAACGTCTGGGTGTGAAAGCCCCCCAAGACTGTATTTGCACACAATT